TGGCACCCTCCTCCCCTGCCTACAGCCTAGCGGGGAGGAGTGGTCGACCTGCTTCCCCTTTCCCTACCCCCCCTCCAGTGTTTGCTCTCCCCCCGTCCTCATTATGGCAGGGGACGAGGAGAGTCAGACCCCGCGGGCAGACCCTACTGCCCCTCCTCCACCCACCCCACCATCATCCCCCCTAGCCTCTACCTCAACCGCCGCTGCTGAGCCACCTACTACCACCCCTGCTGGAGCGCCGGCAGCGGTGGGTACCGAGGTGAACTCCGCTGCTGCCACGTCCCTCGCCCCCTCTGACTCTCGGGGAGTCCCCCCAGCTGGCAGGAAAGGCCAGGGCACGAAGAAGGGTAAAGGCCCCGCTAAAAAAGCCAGGCCTTCCATGACAGGGGGTGCCCCCACTGCCGCAGCCCCGCAACAAGCCGCGGCGTCCCTCCCTGCTGCTCCCTCCACCAGCTCTATGGGTGTCCCACCCCCAGCTCCCAGGGCATACGCCCAGGTGGCGGCGGCCCCCCTGCCTGCCGCTATGTCATCTCCCCCGTCCACCGCCTCTGCTACCATCTATAGCGGCCGGGGCCCCTTCCCCACCTTGACCAGGAAGCACGGTGTCCGTTGCCTCCTGGTACCTGCCTCGCCCCACGTGGAGACCTACGTGCAGGCGCTGGCGAGGGTGGTAGGGCCCACGGCCATTGTGGCGGCCTCCAAGATGTACGGCAAGGTAGTCTTCTTCCTAGCATCGGAGGCCGCTGCCCAGGAGGCGGTGGAGAAGGGCCTGGCGGTGGGGGGCGTGTACGTCCCCCTGGAACCGCTAGAAGACCTGGGTGCCCGATTGGTCCTGACTTCTGTCCCTCCCTTCCTTCCAAATGCCGCCTTGTTACCCACCCTCTCTACCCTGGGGAGGCCGATCTCTGTGGTCAGCCCTCTCCCACTGGGCTGCAAAGACCCCGCCCTCCGTCACGTCCTCTCGTTCCGCCGGCGGCACGTGATGGTGAGGCGCTCGAGGGGTCCTTCTTGGTCCCCTACCAGGGGGCCCGCTACCAGGTGCATTATTCAACGGGGGAGGGCCGGTGCTACCTCTGCCGGGCGATAGGACACGTCCGGAGGGACTGCCCTTTGGCCCAGCACGGAGGGACATCTGGGACCCCCGAGCCCTGGCAGGGCGCCGGCCCCGTCATCGCCGGCGCCCCTAGCTGCCCGGCACCCGAAGCCGCCCCTCCTCCTTTCCGGCCCACCAACACTCCTGCTCGGGCCCAAGGGGTATCTCCCCCAGTGCGCCTAGACGAGCAAGAGGGCCCCGCCTCTGCCGCCTGCGATCTGGCGGGGCCTGTGGAGGAGGGTGAGGTAGGGATATCTCCGGGCATAGAAGAGGGCTTGCCCCAGAGAGAATCCTCCCTCCTACATGCTGCCCCACCATTGCCTCCCCGAGTCCCTAAGCCTTCGCTCTTGCTCCCTGACCCAACTCCTGTTAGCCAGCCCCCGGATGATGCCATGGAGGGCTGGTCCTTAGTATGGGGAAGCGGGGCAAGCGGAAGGCTCGAGCTCCGCTCCTTCCATCTGATGCGGTAGCCCCCCGGAAGACCAGGAAGGGGGGAACCAATGCTGAGCCTTCCGCTTTTCCCCTGGGTGGGTTTTGTCCACCATTGCCGGCTAGGGAAGACGTGGCAGCATCGGAGGATTACACTACCCCTCCTCCGGTGTCCCTTCCTATGGAAACCCCTGATGGAGCCCCTCTCACCCCCTTACAATCTGAAGCCCCTGCACGCACCAAGGCGAGCGTCGCTTCGTGTGCAGGCGGGGAGAGCCCTGGGGTGGTGGAAGGTGATCTCCCTTCCATTTATGAGGCGATCGAGGCCCTGGGTCTGACCCCGGTTACCCAGGGGGAGGACAATCCTCTGCCAGCGGGACTTGATCTGAGCGACCTCGCCTCGGCCCCCCTTTCCCCGTATTCCGTCCCCTTACCCACTGCTTCCACTCCCGCCTCCGAGGAGCCCCTGGACTCTTCCACCATCCCAGCTGCAGATGGCACCCCGCTAGCGGCCGCCGAACCTCTTGAGGCGATGGCCAGTGCCACGCAACCGGGACCCGAGTCGCCAGGGGACTCCCTCATGGCTGAGGGACAGCCGACCTCCTTTCCGGGTGGGGGCCCCATCGTTGATTCTCCACCTACGGATGCCGTGGCCTTACCATCTGCCTTGGAGCACGAGTCCGGCATCGCCGAGGGCCCACCTCCCTCCCTTCAAATCCCAGAGCCCCTTTGTGGGGTGCCACCCCCCCCACCCAGTGGCCTGGCTGCTGAGGCCCCCGATCCCACTATCGCCCCTTCCCCTGTCCCTATTCCTGACTCCGACCCTGCCCCTGTCACCGACCCCGTCCCTGTCCCCTCCACTTTCCATGATGCTATTGCCGCCCCTGGGGCTGTCTCCTTCCATATCCCAGAGGATGACCCCCAAGGAGCGGCCTTTGTTTTTCTCTGTCCCGACCCACCAGAGGCTGCTATTTTCCCTCCGCCGCCCCCCATTGAGCCAGGGTCTGAGGCGGGCCACGTGGCGCCAGCCCATCGGACGCCATGTCGAGGGTCTGCCCCCTGCTTGCCCGTCTCGGTGGGCCACGGGGCTGTGACAGAGGCCCCCCTGGGGGATAGCCATAGATCAATAACCCCACCCCCCCATACGCTGAGAGAGGAGCTACGGGACTTCCTTGAGGACGTCCGTGGCTCCCGCAACAAGGTACAGCTTGCACTCCAGCGATGGGGGGATTTCCATCAGATCCTCCGGGCCGCGAGGGCCCTCAGGGGGGGAGGGTAAGAGGACCGGGAGGCAGGCCGCCGCGGCCTACCAACGGGTCTGACTCTTCCGTGACTCCTTAATCGCTTATGGGGTAGGTCACGGATTGTTGCGCGGCCCGACGGAGGCCGTGGGTGTCTCTGCTAGCGAGGATCCCCCCCAGCCATCCTAATGGCACCGATCATCTTCACAACATTAAACACCCCGGGCTGTAGGATGGGGC